TATGCAATGTAAGATTTATAGGGAGCGTTCACGAAAAATAAAAGGGGGACGTTGCGTCCATTCAAATTCAGAAAGTTGAAACATACGACACGGATACATCAATTTAATTCCAAACAAATCATTTAGATATTACAACCTATAGTCATCGATAATTTTTTCGACGCATCCGTATATAGGTGATATTTCATAGTATCTTTTATTCTTTCTGATCTGAGAGTTACTTTTGAAAACATTTATTCCTCTTTCGAGGATTTTTGATAATAAAGACGACATTTTCACATTTTCTAGGAATGTTCGAAAATCCAGCGCTAGTCGTGAAAACAAGTTGTAAGCTAAATATTATTTTTTTAAAATCAAAGATATTATGAAACATCAGCAATGTACGAATGCGTCGAAAAATAATTTATGTTTATAGGTTGTAATATCTGAATGATTTGTTTGAAACTAAATTGATTGTATACGATTCGGATCGTAGTTGCAACTTTCTGAATATGTGTGGACGCTACGTTCTTCGGTAAAAGACGTTTTTAACAATTTTATCCTTATAGACGTAACAGATAGGAGTAAGATTAATAGCGGTCAAAAGCGCTTATTTTTTGCCGTGCCCGTAAGCCTGAATCCCTTTTAATTTTTCGCGAACACTCCTTTTAAGGATGAAATAAAATGCATATCTAATATGAAGCAATATATCCAGGTACGTTGAGCAGCAAAGCAATATGAAGCAATATCGTATCTGTATTCCAAAAATTGGAGATATTACTTTTAAATATATAACACCATTTTCTTGAATGAAACCGAAATAGGGAATAAAAAAGTTAAGGAAAATTTTGCAAAATTGTGTCGCTTAAAGGGAGTGACCGGCAATGTAAGGTGGTTGAACTGAGTATGCAGTATTCTATACATCGTAGAAACGTTTTATTTGTCTCAAATGAATCCTAAAATATTTTTCCAAAATACTACATATTCAGTTTAACCACCATAAACTGCCGGTCACTCCCTTTAAAGGGGGATTTTTTTCTATGAATTTTTTCATTTAGATATTCTTAAACTTCAGTGATTTTGCTACAACAAAAACAACAATTTTTCCGATTCTTTTTAATCTCTGTTTTCGACGAAGAATAAAGATATTCCTCTCATTCCACTTTTTGGGGAAAAATGTTTTTGATCTAATTTTCTTTTTAAATATTTTTAATTGATTAATTTAATAATTATAAGTGCTCTTCAAAATTTAACGTTAAAGGAGTTCCAGAGTTCTCTTTCCTTTCAGAACAAAAACAAACTAAAACTAAAAAATAATAAAAAACAAAACAAAACAAAAGGCAAAAAGAGAAAACGAAACATTAAGGAAACAAAAACAGTAGACGTCAAATTAAAACAAGAATAAAAGAGAATTAAAAACAAAAGTATATATATTAAATAAGAGAAACAATTATTTTTTAAATCGATTGAGTAAAATCTGTAAAAATTACATTATCACTATTTAAGAATTAAAAAGTACTAAAAACAAGAAAGTATTAGACTCTAATGAAATATTTATACAAAGTGTGTTTGGAGAAAAACACTGACCAATCCATTTAAGAATAAAAATAAAATATTTACTAAAACTACTTAAATAAACAAAGGAATTGAGTCTTTGCCAACAATTCTGATTTCCCAACGCTTATATCTTTGCAACCCAATAGCGAAGAACTTAGCTGTTTCAAACTATGAATAATGTTAGATCAAATTATCTAAATTTGAAATATCAAAGCTTAACACCATCAGGTTGCAAAAATATATGATTTAGATTTGAGTGTGTGGCAAAGGTTCAATCCCTTTAATCATCAAATTAAAAGTTTTGTTTTAGTGTTTTTTGCTGCTTCAATTTATCACCAGATTTGAGAGTAAACAGCATCAGGCAATTTTTTCCTTTTAATTTAATCAGTTTGTATAAGATGTTGTTACCTTTCTCGGGATTTTAATTGCATTTTAATTGATTCAGTGTTCTTTTTAAACAAAAAGAAATCCATTAGAAATCGCTTAATTAAATTCGCATATTAATGGGATTGAGCCCCATATTCAAATTTCTAATCCCAAAATATTTGTAAAGATTTTGAAATTAAACTCTTTGTTTTGTTTTTGTGACATTATATTTCGTCTCTTTGCATTTGCATATTTCACCGCAGAAAAGAAACGCCCGAGTAATCATGACTCCATAATTCTTCTTTAATATTCATCATATCGAAATCATTATGTCTTTTCCTAAAACTTATATTTTGTGGCATCAATTTTAACTAAGAGCGTTCAATGTTCCATGTTACGATGCTAGCAATAATCTTCTTTAATTTGAACTAGCTCCCGTGCATGTGTATAGGAAAGGATGCACAGAGTTAATTGTAGCATTTTCTAATATGAGATAACACACACTGTGTTTGTAGCATCTCCCTGTCAAATAGCTCAAAAGATTTTGACCTTATAAAATTTTAATTAAAAATCTTCGTACTTCTTTTTCAAATGTTTATTACACAAAGTTATGTTTATATTTATTCAAGCACGATATCTTATTATAAATAATGTATATTTAAAATTCAGTGATGGTGATGGACCAAACCTCTGTAGAGTAAAAAAGTAGATGTTAGTTCCACATTTATTGAAGATATATTTCGGTCTGGGTTGACCCTCGTCAGTTCTTGAGATTGTTTCTTCACAAAGATTAAAAACAAATAAATAATGTAGTTTTTTTTTTCTTCTGAACTGCTGCCTTGTCAATACTTGAATATAAATTTACCATCAGTTTTGGCAAAAAAAAACGAAAATATGTATCCCGAAAATAATAGACTTCCCCTTAATTTATTTACAAATGAACGCACACGATAATTATCGTAAAATAGTTTTTGTTAAATCCGTACAACCAATTTTGTAAACTTTATATATAACGTCGATACAGAAATAAATATCTAGATCTTAAAAAATATTTCGTCTCTTTGTTACATTTCTAGTTCGGCCTTTGTTGATAAAAGAAGCACTAAAATCAAAGAGAAATTTAGGAATACCATTCTTTTGATCTTCCAAAATATGGAGAAAATAAAACATTAAAATGAAAAATGATTTTCAGAATTCACGTTTCCGTCCTTTTTCCTCAATTTCAAACATATTTGAAATAGGTAAGTACTATTGTTACTTTTTGGTTCACTTTGAGAATATTTATAAATTTCAAAATGACCCTTATCAGCTATTTGACAATTCAATATGATCTACACAACCAGGATAAATAACTTTAAGATACTTTTACATATTCTCAAAGAAAGAAAAGACCAAAAAATCGTTTAAATATTTTAAGGTGTACTTTTTTAAAAAGAAAGCTAAGAACAAGAACTATTTTTTCATTCCTGATACTGCATTCACCAATAATGAACCTATATAGATTTATTGGTAATTTATTGGCGGTGTATTTTCTTTAGAGACAATGATGAAAAAGAAGAAATTCGTCATTTTTAAACCATTTTTATCATTCATCGTTTTCTATTAAAAAACTTAGAGAATCATCTGTTTTGTTTTCCAAGAACACATTATTTTTTGATTAAAATGAATTACCAGGAAAGGGCCTAGCATTGTGATATTTTTTAAGATTATGATTAGATTAATATTTGTTATACTAGTACTAAAGGTAGGATCAATACCTCTGCTTCATTGTTATCGTTAATGAGTTCTATAATACACAATTCAAAACCAGGAATTCTCTTTCTCGTTTTTCTATATTTAGTCTTTGTCTGTCTGGCTGTCTGTTTGTTCGTTTTTATCAAATAAACGTCTAAACGGCTGAACTGATCAGGCCCAATTTTTGCGTGGGACCTCAGATGACCCGAGGGAAGGTTTATAAATGATCAAAATTTCAAATATAGCCTTGAAAATCCACGATTTTTTTTTATAAAATCCGCGAACTTCTTTTTGTTTTGTTTTACAATGTATACAAACAAAATGTTCACAATTGAGATAGAAGAAAGCTTAGTTCTTCAATAATTTACTCCTTTTTGTTATCAGGAAATAATCCATTTTGTCTCATCCGGAAACGGAATCATTTGGAATTTAAAATATTTTGAAAAGCGCTCCTCTTAATATCAATTACGTTGTTCACCTTTTTTGATTTATTTCGACTGTAAATCTACACTAAAAGTTTAACTAAAGCTTAAATAATGGACCATGTAAACAACATTGCAGAATTCTTCAAATTTTGTTTTATTGAAAAGTATTTTGGATTTGAAAACTTGACTTTTTTGACAAAGACTCAATTCCTTTAAAAGAAAAAAAGTTGATTTTTTTATTTTTTCAGTAAAGCGTTATTACTATTAGAATATGATTTTAAGAAATCAAATCTAATTGAATGATATCTTTTTAAATCAAAGATTTACAGACTAAAATTTCTAAACCTCCATTTGTCTAAAATTTAGGTAGGATAAATGCCAGCGAAGGACAATGTGATCAATAAAGAAGCGTAAAACAAATAAACTATACTTAGAACAATTTGCTATATTGCAGGAAATTCTTTTCTAAATCTTCAACCTGGAAAATCCATCGCACCATCCCATTTCAGGTAACGATAATAGTGAATAATGAAAATATAAAATTAAAAAAATGAAAGGATGCATAATGATAAATAATGTACTGATGATAAATATAATTGTGATAATAAATAATGATTATATGGTAGGTTATACATGATGATACAGTAATATAAACGGCAGCAAAAATACTTTCCTCATTTTGCCTTTTTCATTTTAGACCTTTACAGCGGCCTCATGTTCAACAACAACCTAATCAACAGCATAGTCACATTCAATTTCAACAGCATCAGCAACAACAACATCATCATCAACAACAACCACAACTGACTACACAGCTACGCCAACCACAACTGAATACACAGCTACAACATCCACTACTGAATACACAGCTACACCAACCACTACTGAATACACAGCTACACCAACCACAACTGAATACACAGCTACAACAACCACTACTTAATACACAGCTACACCAACCACTACTGAATACACAGCTACACCAACCACTACTGAATACGCAGCTACACCAACCACTACTGAATACACAGCTACACCAACCACTACTGAATGCACAGCTACACCAACCACAACTGAATACACAGCTACACCAGCCATTACTGAATACACAGCTACAACAACCACAACAACCTCTACTGAATACACAGCTGCAACAACCACAACAACCTCTACTGAATACACAGCTGCAACAACCACAACAACCTCTACTGAATACACAGCTACAACAACCACAACAACCTCTACTGAATACACAGCTGCAACAACCACAACAACTTCTACTGAATACACAGCTACAACAACCTCTACTGAATACACAGCTGCAACAACCACAACAACAGCAGATTCAAAAGCACAGCCAGGTGAAGTTGTGTGTTTTATTCAAACAAATTCTGACAAAAAATGATTGTTTTAAAAATGTTTTAAATTACTAATCTTAATAATAAAGTAAAATTTATATTTATTTTTAGTCGGATTTGCCCCCAAAACTTAAAGATTTTATTGCAGGTATTATTTTAACAATTTATTTCTTTAGAATACCTTTGTATTAAGTATCCATAATACCGATTGTTTGATCTCCATATTCACAGTGGACAATTTTATATTTACGCAGAATCTGCTTGATCTCCATATCCACAGTGGATACTTTTATATTTACGCAGAATCTGCTTGATCTCTTCATTTTTTATTAATTTTTTTATTTAAACATTTAAAATTTGAAAAAGAATTAAATTTTTTTTAACATTGGAGTTGGATTTGTTTTTAGATTTACCTTCCACTTTAATTTCTGTTAGATACTCAAAGTACAATATCTGTTTTTATTTCTTTAATAAAAATCTTTAAATATTAGAGTTGATATAAATAATAAATACGATTCAAGAGAAAACATCTTTTCCATATGAGTTTTTTGTATTTTAATAATAATATTTTCACATTTTTATTTTTTTTCCATATCCACATTTTCTTAAAATTTCAGATCATATCATATCAATATCTAGATATCTGTTTCATCATTCTGTAAAGGTTTTCTATTTTTCATAATCGTCCCTTGGGATAAAAATAATATTCTGCTTAATTTTTAAATAGAGGGTATGAAATCGCAAATGGACATAAAATTACAAATGATGGTCGTTTTGCCAATAGGTTTTCTGCGTTGAAATCTCCGTTAAAATGCATCACTGGAAATATAATAATACCCCTCACTTTCTACGTCCATTAATAATAATATGATGCATCCTGTGTCGTAAGATTACTAAGTTGGCTTGAGAACAGATTAAATATTTAAGTGAGCACAGATAACACAGATTTGATCTAAAATATCTTAACAATATATAAGCTTTAATTTTTATTGTTTATTGTTTATTGTTTAAAATATTGGTGATTTAATTTGGTTTAAGCGGTGCACAGGTCGAAACGGAAATATTTGCGCTAATAGGTTCAAAAACAATGATCACTTTGTTTTGTCCTATCTGATTAATCTATGAATTGAACTATTTCTAAAGTATTCTATGCTTCAAGGTTTAAAAGTATGAATAAATCCTGTAAAGAATGTAGAGTATAGCGGATCCTAAACTATAAAACTGAAGATATATAACATTATTGCCCAGTAGTGCTCTCTCATACATTCACATGAATTCAATTCAAATTGAAATATAAAATCATCAAAAATTCACAGTGCATCACGCCTATTAGGACTGAATTAAACTACGTCAAAACGAACCAGCTTACTCGCCTAAAACTCTATTTATAAATCTTTTTATCTTATAATCTGAGAAATTTTATAATATTAAAAAGTTGAAGTTTAAACTATCAAAGGTTTGTACCGTTGTTGAAAAGATATATGAGCGAAAAAATAGAGTTTAAGACAAGTAACCATTTCTGATATTCCCGGTTTAATGCAAAAATAGCAGTCTACAACAAAGCATACTGCAACTACAATACAAAGCTTTAAGAGATGTTCCAAACTGTTTTTAAGTGATGAGTGATGCCAGTCAAAAGTTAAGGCTTTAGTGTAAATACTAGTCTCTGCGTAAGGGTAAGAGATTGATCAATTTTCTGCCGGAGAAAAAAACTAGAAAAATGTTTTCCAATCAGTATTTTGACCAATATCAGTATAATCCACCAATTTACTGTAAATATCTTCCATCCTAAAGGAATTGAGTTTTTGTCACAAACTCTACTTTTCTAATCTCTATATCTTTGCATACCCAAAACTTTCAAACTAGGAATTCTGCTAGACCAAATAATTACATCTTCAGATTGTAAAGATATAGGGATTAGACAATTTTAGTTTGTGACAAAAACTCAGTTCCTTTATACTATAACTCCTTTAAGATAATTTTCACCTTTGAATTTAATTCCACAAGATAACTTTTCTTAAAATAAATGTGACAATGCAAAATGGTAAAGTTGAAAATTTTATTCTTTGATGATAAGAGAAAGAGCCAACAATAAAGCAATTTGAAAATTAAAGAGACGGGACGTTTATTTCCTCTATTTCCTTTGTAGGGAATGCGTTTTGTTTTTCATATTCTTTTTTAATATAAAGTAGTCGTAATCCATAAAATAAATGGGAAAAATTTTAATTTATTTGATATTTCCCAGGATTAGATTCAATTATCAAGAGTCCTGGGATAGAAAGCTCAAACAAGAATACAAGCTCAAGGTATTTATAATGGAATTCAATTTCAGCCCAAGTCTTCAACATAAAGAAATTGAGTCTTTGCCACAAACTCTGATTTTCTAATCACTATATCTTTGAAACCAAATGTCGCATACCTTAAATATTTCAAACTATGAATTCTGATAGATCAAGTAATCAGAGTTTGAAATATCAAAGGTTTACAACATCGAGTTCTAAAGATATTGTGGTTTAAATATTTGATTTGTTCCAAAGACTCAATTCCTTTGTACCAGCTTTTAAGTTATAAAAAAAGAAAATTTTAATATTAAAGAATATCAAATTTTGCCACAAACATAAATCTTTTTATCTTAATATATTTGCAGCCCAATGCCTTAGATCTTGAATAGTTTGGAGGACAGCAATTGTCTTCTTCCAGTCTAGAAGTTTCGCTTACCAAACCAAATGTATAGATATAAGATTAAAAATTATAAGATTTGTACAATATTTCAAACTATGAATCAAAAAATCCAATTTTTAAAATACAAAATATCAAAATTAGAAAGTCTGAGTATGTGACAATATCCCTTTACCTATCCCTAGACCTAGACCTAGAAATGAGACCTAAACTAGACCAAGATATAGACCTATCCCTAGAACTACCTAGACCTAGACCTAGAACTAGAGCTAGACCTAGACCTAGACCAAGATATAGACCTATCCCTAGAACTATACCTAAACCTAGACCTAGAACTAGAGCTAGACCTAGACCTAGACCAAGATATAGACATATCCCTAGAACTATACCTATACCTAGACCTAAAACTAGACCTAGACCTAGAAATAGACCTAGACCTAGACCTAGAACTGGACCTAGAACTAGACCTAGAACTAGACCTAGAACTAGACCTAGATTTAGACCTAGATTTAGACCTAGATCTGGATCTAGACCAAGAACTAGACCTAGACCTAGACCTAGACCTAGACCTAGACCTAGACCTAGACCTAGACCAAGATCTAGACCTATCTGCATATCTGCATAGACCTAGCTATCCAATCACTATATCAAACCAGCAAGGTTTCAATCCCTGTAATCTGTAAATAGACAATTCAGTGAAGGGTGCAGATCCAATCCCAATCCAAGTTAGTTGTTCATTTGTCGGGTTGAAAATAAACACCAAGCTAGAGGGTCAGCCCAGCCGGGCAGAGTAGGAACTAGATAAAATCCCAATGGGCATGGCGGAACAATTGATCCGCTATTTTGAAACCCCTGAGTGGGTTAGTATTCATGAATAGGTTGAAGGAAGTGTTTATAAGCAAATACTCTCGCTGATCAAAGCAGGAAGTGTTCCGTCTCTACATCCATCGTTTTCTCAACTATTAGTATTTTTTCTCTTTAATGTATAAATAAAGTTAGTGTACTTTACTTCGCTTTATCATTCAATTCATGTAAGCTAGTGTTTATCTTGTAGTTTAATATCCCTAGACCTATCCCTTTATCCTCTGCTGGTCCTGTCAGAGATCCTGTTCTGTTCACTAAACTTGTTGCACTTCAGGAATCATTATCTTTCATTCTACCATTTCGGATTAATATACTGTGAGACTGAGAGCCAGAAAACTGAAACAGAGACACTAGCAATAAGTGATTTTGATGTTATTACAAAACAAATAAATATAAACTTAGATCATTTTCTGCGGTAAATGACAATATATGTGTTTTTTTGCTGAGTGGGAAAAGTGTGCCGTAAAAAATTCCATTTCCGTTCCATTAGAAGGTTAAAAATAATTCATTTTATCGTTAATTAATGCATACGTGGCAAAAATTATCAATAAAATAAAATTGGATATGAGCTTTTTTTAGAAGAACGTTTTTGAGTATCATCATGATAAATCTAATGAAAATTGTCTGCTGTGTCTAATTTGTGTAAAAGATTATATTTGTTTAATTTTGTTTATTTTTAAAAGATAATTGACTAAAGGATCCTGATCATAAATACATAATTATCCCTCCTCATATAAATGCAGGTAAACTTTCAGATATATCAGTTAAGTGCTTTTAGAGTTAAAAAAAATAACAGTAGAGAAAAATCACATAAAACGTTTAATCATTGTCTTTGTTTTATATATAATAGAATATTTAAAATAAGTATTAGAAATGTAAAAAATAAAATCAATTGACATTTAAGAGAATGTTCATCAGTTTTGAGATGGGGTACACTGTACAGGATATGAGACTGGAGATTGTTAACATTAATTATTCTTTACAAGGCATAGGATTGAAATTATCGATTTAAAATGTTTACCCACTTTTAAAATTGGTATTACTCCCTTGCTAAAATTTACCAAAAAAATAGTTTTGATATGCTTGTGACTTTTCTTAGATCATGCATAGTCACTGAAAGATTGAACGAAATATAACATGTTTTAGTGGAATTAGAATTACGAGCAGAACATGACAGACATTTCCAAAATGTAGTATGCCATTCAGTGCCTTCGATGTTAACGAATTTTGGTCAGATTTTGACCATTTTGGCTTATTATTATCTCCGGTAATATTAGCACACAAAAGGATGACACCATTTTGGAAAGGAATTGAGTCTTTGTCACAAACTCAATTTTTTGTATCCCTATATCTTTCTAACCTGTTTGTGTAAACCTTTTATATTTCAAACTTCCATTATACGATCTAACAGAATTTATAGTTTGAAATATTAAAGGTCTACGACATAGGGTTGCAAAAATATAGTGATTATAAAATTAGAGTTTGTTGCAAAGAATCAATTTCTTTTCTAGGACTAGGAGAATTTTGTGACAATTGATCCAAGAATCTAACATGCTAAAGTAGGTTAACAATTAGAGACTGCAAATAATTTTATAGTTCAAAGATATTTTCATGTTTTTGTATCTAATTTATTTTAGGTGTTTTACCTTTAACGAAGAACAAAAAGAAGCTACCCGTGTATCCTCCAAACTACGGCAAACCAGGGACAAAAAACAGAAAGTTCTATGTAGATGCATGTAATTTTAGCGATTTAAAGATAAAAAATTAGATGTCTGACGTATAGATTTTTATGTGGTTCCATCTAAATAATATTTCTAAATCTGTTTTTTCTCTCAGAATTAGTTGTCAGGAACCTACTGAATGGCAAAATAAAGCGGAAAAACTCTTACAAAACGTATTTCCCGAATCATAAAAAATATTATCCTGCTAAATATTTTCCTAATCGTAAACAAGATCTAAGTTAGTAATCCCATGTTTATCGATAAGCAGCGAACTATTGAGACCTGGCTGACTGTAAACTTTTGTTTTAGTTTACACATTGATTAATAAGGACTTCAAATACATCAGTGCTGTATGATTCTTAATAAGTAAAGCTCATTTTCATTTTCTTTTCCCCTGCTGAATCTTATAGTTTGACTAACCTGAATAAAAGTAAGATGTTACAACGTCTTAAAATAAACAGATGTAAATTATTCAACCTGTTGTTGTTTTTTTGGTAGGACGGAGTTTACTCATAGTTACTCCCGCCGTTTACCCACGCTTGGTCTTAGAATAAGATGCTTATATATAAAAGTGCAGACTCAACTTAGAATCTCAAAACCAAGCTAAGAACATCCTTGTGACTCTCCCGAGTTCCCCAATCAAAATTTGAGGCATAGGTTTCTTTAGTTATGATCGGACATACATACAGACAAAAGTCACCCTCAACTAAGCTTTCGGTGTGTACTGCAGTAATCTGCATTAAACTGACCGAAGATATAGTATTGTTTAGTGGACTTTGAAAAACAAACAGAGATTACAACTTAATATAAATTGAAAACTTAAGAGGGAATTCAACCTAAAAATTTAAAATGTTAGAAATATACAGTATTATAACTTTATTATTTTAGAAGACAATCGAAGAATTTGTATAATGTTGGCTATTACATATTATTGAAGCGGCTTTGTATTTGTCCAAGCTGTCAAAAGTTTTCTGCTCTCAGCTTTAAACCGAGCCGAGCTGAAAGTTTAGAATGGGATATCCTTATACCCGATCGGTTAATAAAATTGGAGATTGATAACAAGAGGAGAACAAGCATTATTTAATCTGGAGATTAAGAAAAAGAGGAGATCAAGCATTGATCTCGATATCCACTATTCTAAAGTGTTCAGCTCTGTGAACTTTTTAATGGTGGATATCGGGATAAATGCTTGATCCACTATTTTTCTTAATCTCAATATTAAATAACTCTTGTTCTCCTCTTGTTCTTAATCTGCAGATTAATCAGCCCATCGGAATTAAGGATATACCATTTTAAAGTTTTCAGCTCAGGAGATTAATGAAAGAGGAGATAAGCTTTATTTAATCTTGAAATTAAGAAAAAGAATGGATCAAGTATTTATCCCGATATCCAACATTAAAAAGTTTCCAGCTCAGAATAGTTATCAAACTGCTTTGTATACTAGGGCTCTGATTTGTTTTGAAAATGCATACTTGATTCATTAAATCACAATATATCCTCGGCATTTAATCATTAATAAACATCAAATAAACAATAACATATTCTTAGCCGTTTTTTATTTGAAGCTTAATCTCAAGGAAAGGAATTGAGTCCTTGCCACAAATTCTGATTTACTAATCCATATATCTTTTGACCCCTGTGTCGTAAACCTTTGATATTGCAAACTTATATTATTTGATCTAACAAAAGTCTTAGTTTGAAATGTCAAATGTCTCCAACATTGGGCTGCAAAGATATAGGAATTAGAAAATCAGAGTTTGTGACAAAGACTCAATTCTTATCTAATTTATGATAGAATTTAAATTATGGAAAGTTTTTAACACAAGTTGATTCTGTCTTTAGTAAAATATCCTTCTTATAAGTTTTGGATATAAAATAAAAACATTACCTCGTATACTCGTTCAAGTAATAAACATTTTTAAATATATAAACAGCAGTTGCTCTAAATCAAAATTTTAAAGTTCTTCTTAAAATCTAACTGTTTTTGCATAATTTTTATACAAACCTTCTGAATGAATTATGTACGAAAAAGACGCAATTTAAGTTAAAAATATGAAAGAACACCTTCAATAACTATATTTCAGAACATAAGAACATGTCAAAACATAATATTTATAATAATAAATAAATGTGCTTTATATTATACTCCGGTATCAGGGCTGATTGTTGAATGGAGGATAGAGATTAAGAGGAATATTGGATTGAAACGCTAGTGGCAGGGCCCCTACATACATCAATTATTATTAAAAATAATTATAAAAGATTTAGAAATTTTAGGATTCAATTGAATTAAATTTGATAAAAATCCGATAAAATTTTGAAAATATAAAGAAGAGAAGATATTTTAAAAAAATGATCTTATTCGGTTTAAATCTGTTTTATTTGATTGTACATGAATTAATATTACTTAAAATGACATGCTTTTTAATTTGTTTACGATTCTGTTCTTATAAATAAAAAAAACTTAAAAACATTTTGAAACTCTTAAAAGGTTTTTCTACCACCATCATATATATTTGGCTCGTGTCTGTCTATATCAAAAAAAAAAAAAAAATCAAAACGACTGAACCGATCGGGCTCAATTTTTTTATAGCCACTTACATAACATCAGGGAAGGTTTCTGATCGGTGTCTCCGGAAAAATGTAGACATTTATTTTTTTAGAAAATACGCCAATTTTACCCGAAAATCCGAAATTTTTTTTTTTTAAACTAGTAACTACAATTGTTAATTGTAAAGGGCGCGAACCACTCTAAAAGTCTAGTTCATTTAAATGGTTCTCTATTGTATTAAACCTTTAAAATGATATATAAAAATCAAGTTCAAGGAATTAATTCAAAAATATTGACTTACCGGCATTTAGAAGCGGTGCCTTTATAAACTGTTCCTGAAATTTAAAAGTATTGTTAGACTTTTAAAATTTGCTAGAAATAAATTTGAAATGAAGTAACTTGATAAAATCGAAACCTGATTTGGGTCCATGTTTGTAAACAGTTTGGTTTGGTCCAGAATATCCAGGTCTGACGTCACAAAGACGCCATGTTGGCTTGGTGGAGTAAAGTCCGGATCAGGTCGGAATCGTTGTCCTCTTGGAGGACTCAGAAGAAAATTCACGTTGGAACGTGGAGTCTCAGTACTGTAATGAATTCATAGATATTTTATGTTACAATTTGGCAGTGTGCGCATACGATTTCAATTATTTTTAAGCTATAACGTAAAACTTTGCTTTGTAACAGCATTAAAAAACACTTAAATATTGCTTAAATGTGGTCATGACATATTTTTGAACCGTAGTAGATTATTTTTCCAAAACTTTTCATTTATATACATTTTCTATTATAACTTTTTTGTTTGGAGTTAAAAATAATTACAAGTAACAACGTGCAGAATGATGCTATTAGCTAATGTAGGCCATACGGTTTTTTATGATAATGTAGTTAATTTTTTACCTTGATTCCCCCCCCCCTCTTCCTTCTTACCCTCTCTCTTGCCAGCTTCTAAATCTAATCCCCTTTACCCTCCTCCATCTAACTGTCCCCTNCAAACCCTTTCTGTCCAATCCCCCTCCTCTCTCCTTCCAATCCTTTGAGCCCTTCCCTTCTCCTCATCTACTGAGATCAAAGTTATTCCACAGCATTTAATCAATTAGATTGAAATCCACAAATGTAATCAGATTAAGCGAATTAAATTTAAGAATTAATTCACTGACAGATTCTAGAACTTGCCCGTACATCTTTATACTGTAAAAACCAGAAAATTATGGCATGGGAAGACGACATTCTAGCAATACTTTGTCTATTTGATGTTGCTACAGAGCAAATATTTTTAGGAACTTATTAAATCACTGATCAAGATTATGATGTCTGTTTACAATATAATAATTGCTGTGTCTCATATATGTACATATTAGACTTTTTAAAGTTACAAGTACGTCATCTTCTTATTCCAGAGTTTTCAGGAAAAAGACAAATTTTAGTATACACACATCGAAGTAGAAATAAACTTTTACAAAAAAATTGATTGTTTGGTAAACATCCAACTCTTGGTGACAAATAAGCGTTTTTTGTTGAATATCAGCGTTTTTTGTTGAATATCAGCGTTTTTTCATTTTGTAATCAGCAGATTGATAACCTGGGTCTAGGTGTTGTAAGAAGGGGTAGAGAGCTAAAAACATCTCTGGGAATACCGATAGATGGAACATCAGTCCTAGGGGTAGGTTGACCAGGCCTTCTGGTTGGCCCTGATGGCAGATCAGGGATTCTAAACATTAACCGGTCAAAATTGCAAATTTTAGAATCATAATAGCTTCAAAATTAAATATATGGATTCCAATTTCATACTTTAAAAAAGGGAATTGATTTCATATTTAAAATATTTTTATATTTATTAGGCAAGACCATATTTTATTTTTACTGTTTACCCTGCATTAAAAACTTTTTGGTTGGGTGTAATACAGAGCTTAAATATATATAAAGACACTTCAATCGTTTCAGTTTTGGTTTTTATGGGTAATCCGCATCCAACAAATTTCTCATATTGTTTACCATGCTTTTCCATTTAAAATTTTCATATTTTTGGTTTATTGACCTAAACAGAAACTACATACAGTGTTAACCAGAAAACTCTGAAATATGAAGACGACTTTATAGCAATACTTAGGTGTATTTGATGTTGTTACGAAGCACATTTTACTGTTTTACTGGACACTTATTAAATTACTATTGGTGTTTTACACTACAAAATTGCGGTGTCCTGGAATGCTAATTGGAATATTTAAATAAAAAATTAGTCTTAAAGTCGTCTTTCTATTTCGGAGTTTTCTGGATATCACTGTACATAATGTTTAAAATAAGCTGTTTAGGATAGAAAAGAAAGATGATCACCCAACCAGTAACGGTTGCCAATGCCACTATACCGATTATTATCAAAATTGTCAATTTTTCACTGCATTTTATTTGTTCAAACTAAGTTACAATTTATGAAGACAGAAAAATATTATTGAACAATTAAAATAAGAAAGTATTAAACATTTTTTTTGATAAAAATGTTCAGTTCCTTTCAGCGTGCTCTTAAAAAAAGTAAACAAAGAGTAACTTACTTTCAAATTCATCCGGTGCATCACAACTTTGTAAAAATAAATTTACTTGAGTTGTAAGTTGTAAAAACTTTATTAAATTAAATATAGAAAAATCTGTCTTGAAACACTGAATTCCAAATTGATAAGATCATTCAAAAGCCGTAAGATATAAAACAAATCACAGACAAAAACTGACTTTTAGTGAACAGGAATTTAATTTTTGCCACACACTCAAATTTTCTAATCCCTATATCTTCGCAATCTGATGGTGTAAAACATTGATATTTGAAACGTAGATAATTTTCTAACAAAATTCATAGTTTGAAATATCAAAAATATAAGAATTAGAAAATCAGAGTTTGTGGCAAAAACTCAACTTCTTTGTTAGATTCACCGAAAATATCTTATCGAACCTAGGTCAAACAATTTTTAAAATTTAAATAAACTAACAATAGGGTATTAATTGAGTCCTTAAAAAAAGCATCGTTTTTGATAAAATTTTAAAATCGACCCCCTTAGTGATATTTAAAAATGGTTGCGCTAACCCCATTTAAAAAAAAAAATAAATTGTTAATAATCATCAATTCATATTCATATTACAATTTTGAAAAACAATTTTTAAAATTTCAATAAACTAACAATAGAGTCGTTAAATAAGCAATGTTTTTAATAACATTTTAAAAGCGACCCCCCTAGTGATATTTAAAACCCCATTAAAAAAATAAATTGTTAATAATCATCAACATAAACCTGGTAGGTCCAGAGGGTAGAGGTTCATCATCATGTTCATCTATCAGGGTAGAAGACACCCTAGCGATAACATGTCTTAATAAATGAATCAATTTCATAATACTTACAGTGGTTTGGCATGTTTTCTGTGTAAGTTTGATGACGTAAATGTTTGTGGAGGGATTTATACATTTAATGAAGTTAATACTGCAGAGATGTTTTTATCATTGGTTTTCCACCTCTCCTGTTTCATTAGCGTCAGCCTGTCAGGTGCCTTAAAGTTTCTAGATTTTAAAATTAGGGGGCATGGATTCAGCTGCCGTTAAAGGGATTGCGGATTAAGCTTAAGCTGGCTGTATAAAAGGATGTGAATTCACCTGGTAGTGTAGTGGTGTGAATTCACCTCTGGTAGTGTGGGGAGTGTGAATTCACCTGGTAGTGTAGGGATGTGAATTCACCTGGTAGTGTAGGGGTATCAATTCACCTGGTAGTGTAGGGGTGTGAATTCACCTGGTAGTGTAGGGTTGTGAATTCACCTGGTAGTGTAGGGGTGAGAATTCACCTGGTAGTGTGGGGAGTGTGAATTCACCTGGTAGTGTAGGGATGTGAATTCACCTGGTAGTGTAGGGGTATCAATTCACCCCGTAGTGTAGGGGTGTGAATTCACCTGGTAGTGTAGGGGTGTGATTTCACCTGGTAGTGTAGGGGTGTGAATTCACCTGGTAGTGTAGGGATGTGAATTCACCTGGTAGTGTAGGGGTATCAATTCACTTGGTAGTGTAGGGGTATCAATTCACCTGGTAGTGGAGGGGTGTGAATTCACCTGGTAGTGTAGGGGTGTGAATTCACCTGGTAGTGTAGGGGTATCAATTCACTTGGTAGTGTAGGGGTATCAATTCACCTGGTAGTGTAGGAATTCACCTGGTAGTGTAGGGGTGTGAATTCACCTGGTAGTGTAGGGGTGTGAATTCACCTGGTAGTGTAGGGGTGTGAATTCACCTGGTAGTGCAGGGGCTTTATTTTTTACTGGCTGGAGTATCAAAAGTAGTTTTAACCTGGGTGATGGGTCTCGTTGAGCTGGTTTAAACCCAGATCTAGGAGTAGGAGGAGGAGAGCGATTAGAGGAAATAAAACTCGATCTTCTTGCTTCGTCGTCTGAATATAATTTGAGGTTAAAATGCAGCTAATACAAACAAATCAAAAGAATGGTGTTAAAAGAACTTTAATTTGGAAAGAGTATTAATTTTTAAGTTTAGCATTCAAAAGCTGGTTTTATTTGTACCTTTAGTGGCAAAACCGTCTGACTCAACTGACCTGAAATGAACCGGATAGGTTTCGTACTTTCTGGGTTGCTCCGACCAGGAACACTGTCGGGGTTACTCCGATCAGAAACACTGTTGGTCGATGCTGAACTTCTTCCACCGGATAATCCTGACTGTGCTTGAATACTGCAGGCTAAACCCAGGAACAAGAAAACCTAAGAAAATTAAATGTTTAATGAAGTTAATTAGGTATATACAAAATTGAGCTTGAGAACCCAACCCAACGTTGCCCAGGGACCTCTATAGTTAATCCCGCCGTCTAACCCGTGCTTGGTTGTAAATTAAAGATAAGTTTCATCGAACTTCTATAGATATATTCTGACAAAGAGAAATTTATGTGCAGTGCACTGATCTGCAGGTTTAGAAGTGCTTGCACATTTTATAAATTTATCAAGGTATAATACTTTATTGTATTTGATAGATAGATACTAAGATACCAGCGGTAGCCTGTTCAAACTCCAAATATGACTCATTTCTTTCTGAACCAGGAGGCATTTTTAGGCCGGGCCGTGGGGGGGGGGGGCACTAGAATTAAGTGAATATTATTGGTTTTATTAAAAAGTAACATTTTTTGATAATTGTAACTTAATATAATTATAAAGCATATTACATTTTCCCTGCCCAATTTTTTAAGTTCTATATGAATTGTTACAGGAATTTGACTTTTAGACTGAAGTTATGGCCTTAAATATAGTACATTGAGCATGACGAACAGGAAATCTTCAGTGGAAACAGACATATTTTACTTAATATAATAAGTGATTTAATAACTTAATATTACAGGTTTTTGCGTTGTAACAACATCAAATGCATTTCAATATTTTTACTTCCTATTCTACAGTTTTTTGGTTATCACTGTAGAAAAGTTTAATTAATAAATATATATTGTTTTATCGCTGTCTATATTACATATATGTATATATATAAATAGATATAGTTGTATCTGCTTTACCTAACTGTGTGTGTACATATATGTCTATATTACATATATACAGGGATGTATATATAAAAATATATATATAGCTAACTGTTTCTCAAAACAAAGACAACAGAGCCTGAAGCCAATTACTTGAACAACAATACTTTAATTTTAATTATATATTCTGTTCTCCAGGCTAATTAACGAAGCAGAGCTGGGAACTTTAAAATGCCTTTATTTCCGACTGCTTACTCCGAATATCCAATGTGGACACAAAAATTTCTTGCTTAATCCACTCTTTTTTGGATAAAGTACCGAAAAATCGATAACCGGTTTTCAAAAATTAATATCTGTATATTAATCTTAATTAAATGAGAGAACTTCAATGAAATGGCGCGCAAAATTTCAAATATCCCGGCTTCTGATACGCCACTCTGATTAGCTGAATTTTATATACTTTTCAGGATACAAACACAAGATTAGGGTCAGTCTCGAGATTAAGAAAAAAGAGGGGATCAAGCATTGATCTCGATATCTCCCATTCTAAAGTTCTCAGCGCTGGTCTCATAATAAAAGTTGTACAAATGAGACTAAAACTTTAATTATTAGGATGTCTCATGTCTCATCTCCCCGCTTTGTATCCTAAGTTTAGTAATTTTCTAGCCCTTTGAAATGTTTACCCCCTCCCAATAAGTTTGGGCTGTTTACCCCTCCCAATAAGTTTGGGCTGTTTACCCCCTCCCAAAAAGTTGGACTGTTTACCCCTCCCAATAAGTGTAGGCTGTTTAACCCTTCCCAATAAGTTTGAACTGTTTACCACCTCCCTAGAACTTTGGACTGTTCACCCCCTCCCTAGAACTTTGGACTGTTCACCCCCTCCCTAGAACTTTGGACTGTTTACCCCCTCCCTAGAACTGTGGACTGTTTACCCCCTCCCTAGAACTTTGGACTGTTCGCCCCCTCCCTAAAACTTTGGACTGTTCACCCCCTCCCTAGAACTTTGGACTGTTTACCCCCTCCCTAGAACTTTGGACTGTTCACCCCCTCCCTAGAACTTTGGACTGTTCACCCCCTCCCTAGAACTTTGTCTAACTCAGTTTCTGATGAGTTAATAGTTTAAGTCTAGACACACAGAAATATTCTTTACAGATAAGAACCCTCATAAAAAGTGTCCACATTTACCTTCCAGCCTCGTTCCTCAGCTTACATTCTACCTTCCAGCCTTGTTCCTCAGCTTACATTCTAACTTCCAGCCTTGTTCCTTAGCTTACATTCTACCTTCCAGCCTCGTTCCTCAGCTTACATTCTACCTTCCAGCCTCGTTCCTTAGCTTACATTTTACCTTCCAGCCTCGTTCCTTAGCTTACATTCTACCTTCCAGCCTCGTTCCTTAGCGCACATTTACCTTACTGCCTCGTTCCTCAGCTTACATTCTACCCTCCAGCCTCGTTCCTTAGCTTACATTCTACCTTCTAGCCTTGTTCCTTAGCCCACATTTACCTCACTGCCTCGGTCCTCAGCTACATTCTACCTTCCATCCTCGTTCCTTAGCTTACAATCTACCTTCCAGCCTTGTTCCTTAGCTTACATTCTACCTTCCAGCCTTGTTCCTTAGCTTACATTCTACCTTCCAGCCTTGTTTCTCAGCTTACATTCTACCTTCCAGCCTTGTTCCTTAGCTTACGTTCTACCTTCTAGCCTCGTTCCTTAGCTTACATTCTACCTTCCAGCCTTGTTCCTCAGCTTACATTCTACTTACCAGCCTTGTTCCTTAGCTTACATTCTACCTTCCAGCCTTGTTCCTTAGCTTACATTCTACCTTCCAGCCTCGTTCCTCAGCTTACATTCTACCTTCCAGCCTCGTTCTTCAGCTTACATTCTACCTTCCAGCCTTGTTCCTCAGCTTACATTCTACCTTCCAGCCTTGTTCCTTAGCTTATATTCTACCTTCAAGCCTCGTTCCTCAGCTTACATTCTACCTTCCAGCCTTGTTCCTCAGCTTACATTCTACCTTCCAGCCTTGTTCATCAGCTTACATTCTGCCTTCCAGCCTTGTTCCTCAGCTTACATTTTACCTTCCAACCTCATTCCTTAGCTTACATTTTACCTTCCAGCCTTGTTCCTTAGCTTACATTCTACCTTCCAGCCTTGTTCCTTAGCTTACATTCTACCTTCCATCCTTGTTCCTCAGCTTACATTCTACCTTCCAGCCTAGTTCCTTAGCTTACATTCTACCTTCCAGCCTTGTTCCTCAGCTTACATTCTGCCTTCCAGCCTTGTTTCTCAGCTTACATTCTACCTTCCAGCCTTGTTCATCAGCTTACATTCTGCCTTCCAGCCTTGTTCCTCAGCTTACATTCTACCTTCCAGCCTTGTTCCTTAGCTTACATTATACCTTCCATCCTTGTTCCTTAGCTTACATTCTACCTTCCAGTCCACAGTTCTAGTGAGGGGGTAAACAGCCCAAAGTTCTAGTGAGGGGATAAACAGTCCAAAGTTCTAGGGAGGGGGTAAATAGTCCAAAGGTTTAGGGAGGAAGTAAACAGTTCAAAGTTCTAGAGAGTGGGTAAACAGCCCAAAGGTATTTCTGAATGGTTGGTTTTATATTAAATTCAATTAGTTATGATCTGGGTGAGATATTTCTACTCGGTGAATGCGAACGCTCTTCGGTCCGGTATGAGTCGTGTTTAACCTATACTCCTTACAGACGCAACAAATAGAGGTAAGATTAATAGTGATCACCATCGAATTCAATACGATCTTAGGCTATACCCCCTTTCATTTTTCGCGAACACTCCCTTAAAGAAAAACAAATATTTTAAAGATATTGCATTTTTATCTATATAAAGTTTACCTGGACAGTTTGTTGCATGTTTGAAAGTTAGAATATAGATTCTCGGGACAAATATTCAGAATATCTAGGACATAGGAACTCACACTGCAGTCTATTTTAAAGTTAAGTACTTCAACTAAAAGTGTATTAGCTATTAATTAGTTTTCTTTTATAAAGCAAGATAAATATTTATATACAAACTAAGTTTATTTCCTTGTTAAGATGACAGCAATTAGTGAATAAAATATAGAATTCCCATTTTCCTAAAGAGAAGGTCTATTGTTGTTTTGCGTTGCCCATAAAGCGCCTTATGCTCGCTGTATGCTGCTACGCGCTTGGTTGCTCGGCACAAACTAAGCTGCAAGGTGCACGCAACATTCTTACGTTATCATTTTTAATTCCTTATATAGCGTGTACTCAGATCGAAGAGTAGCGTAGACTAAAAAGCCAGAACTTGCGCAACGGAAACCTAGAACCCATTGACTTCATTCTATTTTTACCAGAGGCTATAGCAACTTAAAATTTGGATATATATATGTTATATATAATTTTTTACAATTCTTTTTGCCGATGATACAACACTGCAACTTTCTTCAAAAAGCTTACACGACTTATATGATTTGGCAAATTTTGAGCTCTCTAAAATAGAAGATTGGTTTAAAGCAAACAAACTGACTTTGAATGCGTCTAAAACCAAAAATATTTTCTTCAAAAAGAAAAAAGAAGATGTAAATATCACCTCTCTTAAACTTCTAATAGATAATAAAGATATAGAAAGAGTAGGAACTGGATGCAAAAATGAATCTTTTAAGTTTGTAGGTGTTCATTTCGACGAAAATCTTAACTGGAACCATCATCTTAAGTCGGTTAAAAACAAAGCATCCAGTGCAGTTTTTGCTTTGACAAGTGTAAAAAATATTCTTCCTAGTAATATTAAACTAACCATTAAAAACTTTTTATTTCGATCATTTATAGAATATGGAATCTCACCCTGGGGAAGAAACAAATGTTCAGAAATGAAACAAATTCACATTTTACAGAAACGAGCAATAAGATTAATTGATAAATCAAAAGCCACGTCCCATAATGATCCTCTTTTCCTTAAGTCTAAGATTCTAAACTTCTTCCTGCATCTTTTGAAAACATTTTGAAAGATCTCTTAACTATCAACTTGACATTCTCAAAATTTGCTCATTACAGTATTTACCATCAAGCTCTCGTCTTAAGATGCCTCTTGACTTAAAAAGAAGCAACTCTCTAAGTATATTTAAAAATAGACTACTAAGTTCTCTTTTTGAAAATTACATTACAATGTGTTGTTATAACCGAATTGCTATTCTTGTAAAACTAATTAGATATATTTTAATATGCTTTGATATTTGTTGTGTACATGTCTGAAAATTACTTTAAACTCTAGTTATTCGAATTTATGTATAAACTATTTTGCATAAGATAAAATCGCACCCTGATCTTTAATAGTTCTCCTTAAATCTATTTAATTGAAATGTTTTGTTATCATTAACAAAATTAGGTGGAAAAAATAATCAAAACAGCCAAGAGCTATTTTCCACCTTATTGCTTTATACTTGTACTGTTAATATAATCATCAATTTGTAATTGTTAACTCGTTTTGTATACAGATACATGTATTTTAGCAATAAACTTTATCTTATTTTATCTTATGAATATATATATCATAAATTACCGGAGGTTAAATTTCTTAAAAACTGACATTATGTATACTTTACATAAAACCGTGATTGAAAAAAATCAATTTTCAGATAAAAATCAAAGATATATCCTACCTTTTGTTCAAACAAATGTCATGACCGTCATAAATCGGACAACTTTAAATCTGCATGATATTTAAAAAATTTTATTTTAATTTAAATTTTTTAAATTATTGGGTACAATACAGACAGATTCTACAAAAATTCTATTTCAATAATTCTTGTCATCTATTTTTCCTTTTTCATTCTCCATTTTCTTTTTTTGTTGACTCTCCCTTCTGGCAATTTGAAAAATCTGCGAAATATGAATTACAAAATATTTTATGTTTACACACAACACACAGAGTAACGACAACGGTTGTTGTAAAATCGCGGTGAAATTTTGTTAAATTCAGGTTTACAATTTACAATTTGTTTAGTTTTGAATTTATTGTGGTGGGGGGGGGGGCCGGGGGGGCTACCAAGAAGAATTTATATTTTATACTTTATATTTTGTGCATTTCAAGATTTATTTTGTGCATGAAATGAATGTTTTGTGCATTTTATACATTGCATTTTAATTGGAAAATGCATATTTTGTGCAAGAGAGTTCAGATGATCAACCAATAATATAAATATCTTTTTCTGAACTTTTTTCATTGCATTTCTACTTTTTGTGTCTTCTACAGAATATCTTGTTGGAAATATTTGATCTGTATTTGACAAAAAACTGAGTTCCCTTCATGAAAAGTAATTTTCCAAACGACACTTATTTGGAAAACGAGTTTTTTCAACAAACTCTGATTTTCTAATCCCTATATCTTGCAACCCGATGTCATAGATCTTTAATATTTCAAACTATAAATTGTGTTGGTTCAAATCATGGATGTTCAAATAGTATAAGTTTGAAATATCAAAGGCTTATAACTACGCCGCACATAAACGGTGTAAAGAAATTTAGTCTTTGCCACAAACTATGATTTTCTAATCCCAATATCTTTGAAACCCAATGTCGTAAACCTTTGATATTTCAAACTTATATTTTTTATCTAACAAAAGTCATAGTTTGAAATGTCAAAGGTTTACGACGCGTACGTGTTGGAATCCAAAGATATAGGGATTAGAAAATCAGAGTTTGTGGCAAAGACTCAATTCCTTTGAATATCCGAGCTGGGCCAATCTTTGGAGTCCTATAGTTTGGACCGTACCGCAAATCTACAATTACTGAAGTGGCAGAAGAGTGTGTTACACCGTCAGGCTGCAAAGATTTGAGTATCCATCTTACCTTTAAACAGCCAAGGTGCTCCACGTATTGCAGATGCTATAACTATAAAGTGTTTTGAAGACGTGAAGTGAATCCATAATTTATCAAAACCACAAATGTTCTCTTGTAATCAGAGCACCTTAATAATTTTTTATCTAATTTTTAGTAGCAATGGTGAGATATTTTGAAAGCTTTGTCTGACTGATTAAAAATTAAATATCAGTTTTTTTAATCTAGGAAACACAGATTTTTTAATGAGCAGATAATCAAGTCTTTGCTCAAAACTTTCATATTGTCCGATAAGATGATGTAATGTATATTTAAAACCATAGATACTCTAGAATAGATCACATAATGCTAATTCAACTTTCAACTAGTCTGTCTGTATATTTGTAAACAATTCCCAAGAAACATATTTATGTGCCGATGGCGAAGTTGTCGGGTAAATAATTCTGGACTTTAAATATTCGCCATCGGTTTGTTGCAGACTAAATGTTTGCAAGGAACCCCCATACATTTGTACAGAGCATAAAGATACTTGCCGCAACTCTTTAAATCCTATGTACTGCACGTCAGTAGCTAGTACCATAGCTCTAAATTGCATCTTAAAATTGAGCTGAAACCCTACGGTATGGTGAAGACGACATGACTTACTTTTAGCAGACGTTTTTTTTCAGATGGGTTGGAAAATGGCTTTTAATAATGTTTATTTTAACCTTCTTTTATTTTCTCGCATCTAATCTCTTTGTCGTCTCTGTCAAAAGTCAGATAAATTTCTACTTAAAAAATATCACTAACATATTTCAAAGTAAATGGAAAAGTTAAAACATTTGAATCAGAATTTTGATAAAAATTGTGAAAAATTAGAACTTAAATTAGGATATTAAAAGAATCAGAGGTTTTAGTATTTTCTTAAAATTAATATTTACTTTCTTCATTCACCGTTTATGTGCCGATGGCGAAGTTGGCGGGTAAATAATTCTGGACTTTTTTCTCTCATTTAATCTCTGTGTCGTCTCTGTCAAGAGTCAGATAAAGGAATTGAGTCTTTGCCACAAGCTCAAATTTTCTAATTCCTATATCTTCGCAACCTGATCTTGTAAACCTTTGATATTTCAAACTCTGATTATTTGATCTAACAGAATTTATAGTTTGAAATATCTAAGGTCCACGACATTGGGTTTCAGAGATATTAAGATTAGAAAATAAGAGCTTGTGTTAGTTTCTTTATTCTTAAAAAATATCACTAACATATTTCAAAGTAAATGGAAAAGTTTAAACATTTGAATCAGAATTTTGATGAAAATTATGAAAAATTAGAAGTTTAATTAGGAAATTAAAAGAATCACGGTTTTAATATTTTCCTAAATTAATATTTACTTTTTCATTCACCATGAATCCTCCAGGGAGAAAATAATAACGTTTATTGAATAAACAAGATACATTTCTTCTCTGGTGGGCGAACCTTACTCTCCTCAGTTGGTGAGCAAAAGAACATCACAACTGATATCCATGTCCATATACGCTACAAAGGTTCTATGGCTACTACGACAACAACAACAACATACACAAGATGCAGTTAACTAAAGTTTGAAGAAAAAAAGCAAGAAAATGTAAAGATTTCAACATTAGTGTAGCATATTGGTACTGGTTACTTTTGGTTAAATAAACTTTATATCAGTTTCGAGTCACCAGGAAACAGTTTCATGTCTTTTCTATTCTAAGTAACATCAGATTACAATAATTTTGATACCGGTCTATAGTTTTAATGAACATAGATTCTATTATGTTTTTAGTACTTCAGTTTACAGAAATGGGCACTAAAATACAGCAAAGTTGCATTAAGTAATAAATATTTATTAATAAATATTTTTTTTCTTTTTAACCAATATAATTATAGAATATGCATAGAATAGAATGAATATTTTACCATGTGGATTGTACAATATACATATGTTAAGTAGTAAACTAAATTCAACAATTAGACTTAGAATAAAAAATAAATAAAACGGATACGCATTTGTAATAAAGTAGCAAAGAATAATGGAACAAATCCTTTAAGGGACTGTAAGCGTAAATTTGTGTGAACCCTTCATGCTAAGATAGCAATGATTGATTTACAACGGTACCCTTGAACTTTAATCTGACGCAAAAAGTGTTTATTTCTGTGAATTTCTCATTTGCTTCTTACAGAAAAACCAGAAATAAAAATAAACAGTTTAAAGAAACAAAAACCAGCATATCTATTTTCTAATTCAAACTTAATCAGATAGCTTTGAAAGGTACTGTTGTAAATCGGACATTGCCATCTTTTTATTGAGACTTTTAAATTACGCCTACAGCCTTTTAATGAGTAGATAGTACAAAAGATATTGTCTGATCAAGGAATTGAGTCTTTGGAACAAAATCAAATATTTAAACCACAAAATCTTTAGAACTCGATTTTGCAAAACTTTGATATTTCAAACTTAGATTAATTGATTTAACAGAGTTCATAGTTTGAAATATCTAAGGTATGCAACATTTGGTTCCAAAGATATAGTGATTAGAAAATAAGAGTTTGTGGCAAAGACTCAATTCCTTTGTTCTCTCCATTCTTCTATTTTTTTTTTACTATTTCTGACCCCTTCAATGGGGAAAACTAACAGTTTATAACAGTGCTATGCAGGGTGGAGTACTTGTAACATTTCTATAAAATATTTTTTAAAACTGCTATCTCATTGCTTTGTATTTCACCAAAGTGAAACCTGCTTGTGCAATGTGCATTATTGTTGCTTGGGTTCTTTAACATCACTCACACTTTTGTAATGACCTTGGGTCGAGAAATTGTTCCTCCAGGCAAAGCTGGGTTCCCCAGATAGTCACTTAATAAATATTGAGCACTTGAAAGATTTCAGAATTACGGAATCCATTATTTTTGACGTTCATTTGATATTCTTGAAAACTTCAGAATTTCGGGGGAAGTTTGTATATGAGTAAATGATAATATTATAACTCGTCTTCTTCTCCTTGAAGTCGTCTTCGTGCTCTTCTGTTCCAGGGAAACATTCTGGAATATTATATATATATATATATATATATATATTTATATATGTTTAAAAAATTGTAACTACTGAGGATCGTCATGATAGACGTGAAACGTTATGTTTAGTATAATTAATTTTTTAATAAAAAATGTGAAGTTAAAAACTGAAATATATATGTATTTATATATATTCATAGATTGATTTATTTCATGGTTGGATTTCAGAGAACATAAAATGACAGGGTTACCCAGTAAAGGTTGAGACTTAATGAAAATTGAAACTCAAATGTGAGGATCCGAAGGTTTAATTTGAGGTTTGGGGTTTGTATATTTGCTAACGTATAAACTGACTAAATTCTGTGTAGTCATCTCTAAATTCTCATCCTTTGTGTGTAACCCTGTATAGATATAAATGTAAAAAAAGAATGATCTCTTTACCTGGAAACAAGTCTAACTAGAAGTTTGCTTGTATTATTGAGTAAACCTCTAAATAGATTATGATTAGGAAACAAAATAAACATTTTCTCCGGAATTATGTATTTTACCAACATTTGACCAACTTTACTGACCATGATCCCCTCAACAGAGGAAAGTTCAGTTACTTTACATCCCTTGAGAGAATTAAGTAAATAAGCTCCCGCTCTGAGAAGTTTTTTTTTAAAAAGGCGCGTTTTCATCTCAAAAGACAATAAAATTATGTGCACCTATATTATCGGAAAATATAAATTTTTACTGAAAGGGACTATAAAGGAAAAATGAAAAGGGGTATAGACTGAAACCTGAGAATCTCAGGAGTTGGACGATATATATACGACATCTATCTTATGTTCCTGTCTCCAGAAATTGATATGAAACTATGTCAAATTTATACGAAAATCTATATATATGAAATTTTGTATAAAAGTAGTAGGTTTAAACAGATCATATTCAGCAAATAGGCAACTAATCTGAAAACGATAATATCCAATAGAAACCTGAGAATCTCAGGTTTGCTCCCATTATAATTTTTTAATTTTATTTTGCATTTTTAATAGATATAGTTGATATTATTATTTATAAGTCCTTATTACGTCACAAGAACGCCCACCAATGAGAGTGCAGTAAACTGGTCATGTGATACCGACGGAAATCACGTGACCAGTATACTGCACTGGCTTTGGCTGAAGTTCTGGTGACGTATAATACGGAGTATACAGACTATATGTAATAATATTATCAATTATAACTATTAAAAATGCAAAATAAAAATTAAATAATTATAACAGGAGCAAACCTGAAATTCTCAGGTTTCTGTGGGATATCGTCATTTTCAGATTAGTTGCGTATTTGTTGAATATGATCTGTTTTATACTACTACAACTTTCATACAAAATTGCATATATATATGAACTTTTGTATAAATTTGTCGCAGTATTATATCAATTTCTTCGAGACAAAAACATCAGATATATGTCTTATATGTATCGTTCAACGCCTGAGATTCGATCCGGTTTCATCCTACACCCCCTTTCATTTTTCCTTTACAGTCCCTTTAACCACGGGTTTCCTAGACCAATTTTGTCTAAGAAAACAAGCACTCTGGATGTCTTGTGGGAAAAATTGGTGTTGGGAACCCTTGCTAAAGTAAAATTGTCTTAACCTCACTGTAAAGTACTTGTAATTAATTAAAACTTGTTGGTAATATTAGAATACTTTGATGTCTTTTTTTCCTAGACAACTGTTAAGATGAAAGAGTATAAAGTATAATTTTGAATTTTTCTTAAGTTGGAAAGAATCTTACTTGATGAAAAGTTTGAATAAGTGTGTATTTTGTTTTATTTATAATGTTGTATAATGTTGAGAAGAAGAAAGTTTTCCGTCCTATTCAATTCATGAGCTGCCAGAGAATCTTTTCCAGGATTCTTACAGAGTCAAGAGAAGATTCTAGAGAAGATTTAAGAGAATCATACCACAAACTATTCTGGGTTATTTATTATTTATATGTTTATCACTCGTGTTTATTTATCTAATAATTAATTCATAGGAGTACATTAGTTGAATATCAATCAGTGTAAGTGCTCCTTCATGGAAAACATTTTTTATTTCATTGATATGAGTCCCTTCCTTTATTTTTCATGATAAATTACCCCTATCCCCGTGTTCTCTTTTTTTCTTGTTTTCTTGTTTTAATTCTGTTCTTAATTTTTCCTTTTCTTCTTTTCTTTTTTTCATTTTTTTCTTTTTCCCTTTTCTACTTTCCTTTTCTTTTAAACCTTATTCATTGTTTTTTTCCCTCTATTTTCTCCTTTTTTGTAGACTTTTTATCTTAACTTCTGCCCCTCTTTGACTTAAATTATTCGCTCTTCAAAATTAGTTTTCTTTTCAAACAGATTTTATAAATAGATATTAATTTATCTTTTATAATATTGATTTTATCTTTTATAAATAGATATTGATTTTATCTTTTATAAATAGATAGTGATTTTATCTTTTATGAATATATATTGATTTTATCTTTTATAAATAGATATTGATTTTATCTTTTATAAACAGATAGTGATTATATTTTTTTTAAGAGATATTGATTTTATCTATTATAAATATATAGTGATTTTATCTCTTATAAATAGATAGAGATTTTATCTTTTAAAGTTAGATTTTAGTTTAACACAAAATTCCTTCAAGGTTTTCTTCATGCGCTCTTTTCTATCTACAATTTTAACTTAAACTGTTGCTCTAAAAGTAGTATTTTTTAGCTTTCTCAAATTGTTGTAATTGGCGCATTTTTAAAATGATAAATGTCAACATTGTTTTCCAGGCAAAAATTGACAGTCCATAAATCTTTCCTGGAGTTATGTGAGTTACCACAAATTTTGGCCCGATCGGTTTAGTCGTTTTGACGTTTATTGGATACAAACACCCTGACAGACAAGCAAAGTATGTATTTAGATTATGTGGGAAAAAAAGAAATAGCTGATGTCTATGCAGCAAACTGTAAATTCACGAGAGAAGTCTAAATGCGATTTATACTTTTTTCATACTTGGCGGCAAGACCTATGTACAACAAAACAAAAATATTGAAAAAGGTTTCCGAACCGTACCTTAGTGAGGACAGAACACGCTTCCCTCCAGAGACAGGGGTTTCTAGTTCAACTTGATCAGCTGAGGGTGCGGGAGTATTGGGATCAGTAGGCTCCGTTTTAGCTACAGTGCTTGATGCTGTTGTTGTTGTTGTTGCTTTCTCTGTTGCAGGTTGAAGAATAGAAGATGATGTGCTGGCTATAATCTTTTCGTTTTCTCTGTATTCAGACCTGGCTAAAACTTTTTTATTTACATTACAGGAATTGTTCTCGAAAAATGAAATTAATAAAGAATATTACAAAAAAATAACTACAGACGAATTACCCGAAATGAATTTGACATTGATAATATTATTTTTTGTAAACACTCCTGTTAAAAGTTCTATAATTGGATTGCTTAACTTAATTAGGTGTTTATTTAAAAAGTTCAAAGTCTGTTAATAAGCTAATGAAGAGTATCAAAATTTCTGTTTTGATTTAAATTTCATTATTTCATTAATTTACAACTCAGTTTTCTAAAAATTATAAAAGTTTAATGAAAAATCTCTCAATCTAAATCATGATGTGCAATGTCTAAAAGAAAATTATGATAAAAAATGTTATGACCATGCACTTGTTGACCTTTCTTTCCATCGTTTTTGTTTCTCTCTGAGATTCTTTCTTCCTCTTGTGATCTCCTAAACATATAATTATTTTATTGTAACAAAAAACTATTTAATACAAATCTTACTTAAGGCATGCCCACTCGTAAAGCCATATTTAAAGAAAATAATGTTTCCCTCACCAAAAATAGGGTATGTATTTTTTTTAATCTAACAACTGAATAATTCTTTTTCATATCAACTTGTTTCTCAACTTTTTACTCAGAAGAAAGTCTAAAAGTTGTTTGCAAAAAATATACTTGATACCAAGCTAGTGGTAAGTTGGTAAAAAGTTAAATTAAGGATCAAACTTTCTGTGAAACAAATTTTTTATCATATTTTTATTTTTGTTTTATTTTTAAAGAGCGTGATACGGCTAGCTAAATTTATTTATTGGCTTCTTGTTCATAAAATGTCCACGTTCTTATTGTTGTACTTCTGTTTTCATAAGCCCAATAAAACATATTTTAAAGCTTCTTGGTTAGTCAACTATTTAAACTATGTCAAATATTTGAAAATCTCAGTTAACTTCAGCTATAACCATTAACCAATATTGTTTAAAAAACAAAAATAATCATTTAAATATAACTGAACACCCTTATATTTTTTTTCTGTGCTTTCTGAAATCCAAGGTGTACATATGTCCTTAGCCTATACCTCTATGAAGAAAAACCTAAAAAGAGAGGTTTCAGCATGCAATCCCGGCCCAAAGGTTACCAAATTTTGTATGGGACCCAACATGACCTCAGGGTAGGTTTGTGGATGCTCACATGTTATTGTTTTATACTGTACAAAGAGAAAATGCTCACAGATAGAGCCACAATTAAAAGTTGAAATAGAAGTTGGGCACAAAGCGCCCTAAAATTTGTATGAATATTAGTTTAATATATTCTTTACTCATTTGGATTAGTTGTCTCCAAATGCTAACTTGTGGTTAACTTGGACCTTGTCCTGAAAATATATGCAGACCGTGTTCTACCAGAAACAGAGGGTTAGTCCCACTTAGCAAAAGACATTAAAACTTTTACCATAAAATGAGGGAATAACCCAATTTACACACTGTTATCCAGAATACAAAACTATGGAATAATTGAATTTTCAGTTTAAATTCTAATTTGAAAAATCAGAAACACTGAAATATTATAAATCATATTTATTACGAATTAAACAAGGAATGATTTAAAATTCAAATCTGTTTTGATATTGAGAAAAAATTCAAATCTAAAAAATACCAAGTGAATCAAAACTTCTAAGTTTAAAAAGACTTTAGAGTGTTCAGCCTTCATGAATAATATACTTAGCTTTAGAGTTACTACTAAAATTTAAACTTAATCGGCGATATACAAATTGTGAAACAATTTTATAAATCGGATAAAATAAAGCGTTTTCTCATTTTCTTATGTACCACTGACATTTCAATTTCCCATGGGAGATACAGGAGAGGGTATCCAAGCAACCAAGCAGTGTAAAAAATTGTGTGTTTTCCAAATTGATAAACTTTTAATATATAAATACCAGGCAGGCTATAACAATGACTCTTTGGAGTTATAAAAAAAAACTTTCACATCGGAAAATGAATAGTTTCTAACTGTTTAAACACAAAATTAAAGTATTCATCAACACATTAAGCAGATAATCTTGTTGTATTTTTTGATCAAAGCATCTTTTATGATATTTTCTTAAAATTACGCAAAACTGATTGGAGCAGAGTGTGCCCAGGCTGTATCGAAAAAAACACATTTGCATTTTGTACTATCAATCAAAACTTGTTAAAAGAGTTATAAAAAGTTATAAAAGAGTTATAAAAAAGAGTTATGCTCTTTATAATAAGCCTTATGAAAAAAATAACAAAATAAATGTGAAATATCAATTTGCATCAGTAAAACTAAGTTACAAAATGAGGACAAACTAATTCTTTTCAGAAACTGCGGTGTAGTATATGTTCTAGATTTCAGATGGAAAAGTGGATTAGGATTGGTAAATAAATAATGAAAACACTTTGATGTTTTTTCACTATATATTTCAATCTGACTAATCCAATTATAAATACTGTATTTATTTTCCTCAATTCTTTCTGTTTTCTCTCATCTTGCTACTGAGTGAAATATATTTTGCTATTCACCAACACAAAGTGATATAAAAAGTTTTCAGATTAACTTTTGCCAAACTTTAAAAATATTTTTTAAGTGTTTGTTCAAAAATAGAAAGATTTAATGCATAAAATAGGGAAAAAGTAAAACATTTCCATAAATGGATGTAAATTTTCTTAAAATATCATTACTGCCCCCCCCCCCCTCCCCTCCCTCCTCGAATTTCATGAATGAAAGGAATAACTTTTTAGAGTTGTATTCGCCTAACTGGGGAAAATAAATGATAAATGGATAAGTTAAGGAAACAAAAGGTGAAATAGCAGCAACAAGGAAGAGAAAACTTGAGTCTTGAAGTCAAAATTTTTATTTATATTTTCCCGTACAAAATCAAAAATAATTGCTTGAATATATATACCCCCTTTTTTATACGAATTTTGATCCAACAAATTTTAAAATTTAAAATTCTATGAGGATTACGGATATTTTTCTAAGAGTTCAGATATTCAAACTCTGCAAGCTCTGCATCACTTTGTGGAATATTTATTTTTTGAATCAGAAAAATAAAAGTATTATATCATTTTTCTACACTTTCCAACCCGGGCTAACAACCTTGTCTTCCTTTATGACATGTATGTACAGTGTACAGTTTACAATGTAAGTGTATGTACACTTTTAAGGCTGCCTACTGCCTGTGGCAACATATCCCAGGTATCAGGTTTTTTATCATGAAGGTTATTTCAAGGAAAAAATAAATTTTCAAAAAAAACATTAAGAGATAAAATAAATTTAGTGTTAAAAGATTCCTGAACTGAATTTAATTTTGGCCCTTCTTCTTAATACAAATTACAACATAGAAAAAAGAGATAAATCTTATATTTTTTTGATCAGAATGGTGAAATTCTTTTTTATTTGAAAAAGGCTCCTTTCATTTTTGTTCAACGTTTTTTTTTAAATATATACCTTGAATATTTGGGTTGTGCTGGTTTTGCCTGAGGAGTTAGAATCACCCCTGAAAACCAATGTTTACAAAAATAATGCATTTGTCAAATATGGTTTACCTCATTGATTTAAAAATTTAATGAAAAATGGGTTGAAAAAAATACTTAAATTTTTTTCAGAGATAAATGAATGCATTGAGAACTTCTCTGGTCCAATTAATTCGATTGTGCAGTAAACATTTATGTAAGTGTTTAATTAAAGTTGTGTTTCCTTGCAGAATTGTAAAAATCATGTAAACAAAGGATTTCCTGGTTTAACTTCTAAGTTGGTGTTTTTTACTTTACTAGGATCATATGGGTAACATTTACCCTTCTCACAGAATACTGCTGCCTTCACCAATGGGAAATATCTTAAACATTTTTATAGGTTTAGAAACTAACTTGAATTTCTTATAAATTGGAGCATTCTGACCGGTGCTAGCAGCCAGCAGTTGCAATATGGGTCATCTGAGCACAGATTTAACATGCTGTGTGTCGAATCATGGGTATCTAGACATGAGGAATTTATTTCTGAGGTCAATTCCAAATTCAATTTGAATGCAGCCATGTTAATACCTTTTAATTTCCCTTTAATCCGTCTAAATAGTGCATATATTTACTATCCTGTTGAACTGTCAAAATATTGAAGATGGCATAAAAGACTATTTGGAAATTATCATGTTTAGTTGGGTATACTATTTTATATTTTATATATATATTATAATTAGAGCTGGAAACTCTTGTATAGTGGATATTGAGATCAATGTTTGATCTCGATATTTTGTTGAAATGAAGATTGATTTAATCTTTATTCAATATCCTGCAGCAACTAGTAATCATACTGTGAACCCAACCAAGGGTTCTCCAATGTGTATATAGTATCAAATAGTTCATTGCTCCCAGTCAGAGAAATAAAGCCTAACAATGCAATCCAAGAATAAAGTCAAACAATCTAGACCCAGTCCAAGAAGACATTGAATGTATGTTTTCAGCCTTTATAGTATATAACAGGCTAGGCTGGCAATGGTATTGCACTCCTTTCTTATCTGGGAGAAATCAAGTTGGTACCGTTTAAAGGGCAGAGCTAGGGGAAGATCAATGCTGGAGAGAGGAGTAAAGCGGCATTTATCTAGCCGGTAAAGAAAGCAGGATAGTCGGCCATCTTATACCCCAATCTTCCAAGACCTAGTCTGTTCTCACAAAGTTTCTATAGAAGACTCAAATGGAAATATATTCGCCCTAGGCAAATGTTGTATGTATTTAGATCAACTTTAGTTGGTCTGCAACACTAATCGTTTGTATCGTTATAATGTAAATATATTGTGTGTGCAATGATGCTTCATTATACCACTCAATCTTGGCTTTTTACTACCGAGTTCTTTTTAATTCTATAGTACCCAGTCAGAGGTTGAATCTGATGAGAGGAGGAATACTGAAGTAAAGGTATTTACTGTTGATTCTCAAATTAAAAGTGCCCATTTTAGGTCACAGTGGATATCAAGCTCAAACAATAATGACTATGAGTATCCAACTCAGAAATTCCCAGCTCTGAATAATCTTTTATAGAATTACTCAACAATGAGAATTCCAATGAAAACTCCAGAACTGTAATACCAAGAAAATCTATAATAGCCTAGTCAGCTCACTAACATTTAACAATCCAATTCTTATCTTCCAAACGTATGGTAAACTTCATATTTTCTAACAACTTTATCTAAAATGGAGACCAACTATAGCCAAGAACAGATTACATAGATTATAGGTCAAGCCATGGTTAGTCGTCCTCTAAAGGAAGCTACCGGCTAGGAGACAGAGAGGAGAGTGCACCAGTATTAAATAGAAAAATTTTAGGACTTATTTGATACTACTGAGACGCTTTTACGGTGTATAATTTCTAAGCAAGAGCTTAAATTTGATTGTAAAATTTCACCAAAAGAAAGTATTTAATAACCTGGACCTAAAATGTAACAACAATTGGTTGTTTTGGAACATATTTCTCAATAGAAGTACACACTCTTAATTAGAAATTATACACCGTATAAACTTCTCACTGATATAAAATGAATCCTAAATGTTTTATGTATAATACTGCACTCTCGGTTCAAATGCGTTACCTAGCCAGTGGCTCCCTTTAAAAGGACTGTCGACGCAATTTCAGGTAACCCTGTACATTCAAGAGTTACATTTCAGAGTCACAATGATAACTTTAATACTTTGTGAGGAGATATCCTTGTTAATATATGTGAAAATTAATATTTTTCTGGAGTGGTTTCTCTAAAAAAAGTAACTTTCCGCAGCGAAGACAGTTTAGTATATATAGTCTATATAACAGTGTCAAAAAACAATAACCAACACATGAAGTATAGGAAGAAGAAACAGGATGTATCCGATTTGAATTTTGAATCGAATTGCACTTAAAGAAATTGAGTTTTAGCCACAAACTCTGATCTTCTAATCCCTATTTCTTAGATCTAGCTTTTTGAAACTGTGTTTATTCTGTTAGATCAAATAATCTATGCTTGAAATATCGCAGGTTAATACCATCAGGTTTCAAAGTTATGGGGATTAGAAATTTGAAAGTGTGGCAAAGAATCAATTTCTTTGTATCCTTGCACCTCCTTTTATATTTAGGAGCTAGTCCATTGATAGAGTTGGCCTTAAAGAGACTGTAAAGGAAAAATGAAAGGTGGTATAGGCTGAAAGCTAATCACTTTAGCTCTTGATCACGACCCATGAAAGTCATATCTGATGTTCAGGTCTCGAGAAATTGATATAAAACTGTGTCAAATATATACGAAAATTAATATATATACAATTTTGTATAAAAGTAGTAGGTTTAAACAGATCATATTCAGCAAATAAACAACCAATCTGAAAACGATGATATCCCAGAGAAAGCTAATTGTAAATTAGGTTTACTTTTATATTTGTTATTTCTATTTTCAATAGATTTCATTCATAATATTATTTTTACGTCCGTATTACTTGACCAGAAATTCCACCAATGGCAGTGCAGTAAAGTAGTCATGTGATACAGGCGGAGACACATGACCAGTTTACTTCTCTGCCATTGGTGATAGTTCTGGTCACGTGATTTAAGTTTCAGATTTTCAAAATTTTACATATATGAATTTTCGTATAATTTTAACACAGTTTTAAATCAGTTTCTCGAGACAGAAACATCAGATAAAACTTTCATGGGTCGCGATCAAGAGCTAAAGTGATTAGCTTTCAGCCTATACCCCCTTTCATTTTCCCTTTACTGTCCCTTTAAACAAATATGTACGATTTAAATATTTTGTGTTTTAAAACCAAATCAAGCAACCCTTCACTGAAACTCGTTGGACTGTAATTTGACAGATGACCTCTTTCTTCAGTAGAATTTAACAAATTAAACTTTTTCAAGACAGAAAGATGAAATTTTTATTCTTTGCTCTTAATTCTTTCAAAGTTTAAATTCAGTTTGTAAGACAAGAATAAATTCCAATTTATAACTATGCAATGAGAAAAATCATTATAAATTGAACAAAAACACACTTTCATGCTTAACAATCTACTATTAAAAATCTTGTAAAATAAAAAGATTCTCAATAACTTTTTTTAAAATTTGTCTTTCAACCGATATTGGAGAATTGAGAATAGTTTAAAACGTAATTTCTGATCAAGTATGAAATAAATATCTATGTTTATAGTTATAAAAACAGATTATTTTCAATTGTGGTTTCTCTACTACTACATTGAGGAATTTTCAGAAATAAACACTTTTAAACCTAGAAAAACGAAAATATATCCCACATTATTGATCAGATAAAGGTTTTAAGAGGACCGATGTGAATCAGGTATTGCCATTTTTGCATGGAGGATACTGGATAATTTCATTCAATTCAGTCCCTTTAAGAAATAGTTTATAAGCAGGTGATTTGGTTTACAGAGATGAAAACTACTTTTCCATTTTTAGTTGCCATTGGTTCCTTTGGATCAACATATCCTGGAGTTCCCGGAGAGCCAGGAGAACCAGGAGAACCAGGAGATATAGAGGACGGAGAAGGAGCAGGAGAAGATGAAGCTGGAGAAGAAGTTGGTGAAGGAACAGATGAAGATGGTATGGCTGATGTGGGTGTAGATGATGGGGTTGCTGAACTGGTTGATTCTGATAGACCTGCTAATATTTAAGGTTTATATTTTTACTGTATACTCATAGATATTACATTAGTATTTTAAAAACGAATAGAAAATATTAGACTGAGACTGATGAGGGAAGGAAGGCCAGCCACAACAATTTCTCGTCCGAGCCACCTCAGAATCTTCGTCCTTCGATTGTTTTGTGTTTTAAAGTTTCCAATTCTCAAAGATAAAACTATTTTTTGTAAATCTGGCCATGTTAGGACATTAAATATGGATGGACTAAAGTAATGCAATGATTACATCATGAAAATACGCGTAAAACATTTTTGAAAACTTGAAAATTTTAATTCAATTGGAACTTTTTTTTCGAGTTTCAAAAATTCGATATTTCAGTTATGCCCTAGCATGGCCCGATTCTTTAAAAATAGTTTTATCTGGGAGGATTAGACGCTTTAAAAAAAATATTGAAAGGACGAGAATTTTGAGGTGGCTCGGTCGAGAAAATGAGGAGAATGTGGCTCGGACGAGAAATAGCTGTGGTTGGCCTTCCTCCCCTCGACTAAAAAGTTTCTTTAAGTACGCTAACAATGCTTATAAATGATTAAACTAAAATACAATTAATTGTAACTGAAGATGGATATGAGAAACTCATTACTTAATTTAAAAATTTTAAAAAAAGATTTTTTTCATATTTTCCTTATTCTTATTGTTTTCCATTAATCAGAATTTTTGAAAGAAAAATTTTGGAAAATTTCTTGAATAGATTTTATTGTTCATGCTTCGCGTTAACGTTATATACAGTATTGAGAGGAACATGGTTATGTCTTTTAAACAATGATAATTAAAAAAAGCATGAATGAAGTTTTAACCCACACAATCCTTCTCATTTAAGATTTATCATTATCATAAAATTAGCGGCGAAGAATATTAGTTTTTTACAAATAGTCTTTTAATATTTATCCAAGCTTTAATACCATGAAAGACAAACATAATACCAAGGATGTAATACAAGGAAAGTTATTTCAGAGGTGTTCGCATCTTTTGTACTGCAGTGTACTGTCTCTGGGCGGTAATGTAAACACAAGACGGATCTCGAAGCCTGACATGGGATCCATCTTTCACATAAAAAATCAATATTCTGGTCCTAGGAAATTATCGTGTGAATTATTAAAATTATCAAAATTTAATGCTTTTAACCTCCCCGGATACTAAACGAACACTGCATGCATCTATTCTTGTTTACAAATTCCGCCCAGAAAGAACTGGTTTCAATATGTACACGCAACTGCAATTAACTTTCCTTGCATTAAATCCTTGCATAATACTCACATGAATCTTTAATTATCTTTTTTAAAAAGGATCAATTATGATGATATTAACTTCAATTAAACCTTAGTTGATTGTTTACTACTTACTACTTAAGCCAAATACATTTAAAAACTTTCGTTTTTGAATCGTTTTCGTTCGTTTATGGTTCGTTTCTGGCATATGTTTTTTGTCAGAAAGAAAGTAAGCTTGTTAAAGATATATACCTGGTTGACCAGCTTCAGGGTCTAGGTAGGACTCCAGGTACTCTATACCCTATACAATATACATATTACCAGTTGGTTTTGTTGAAACTGATAAACCATTAAAACCTTTGAAAGTTAAAATGGAAAAATTTCTTAGTCGATTTTCAAATAAATATATCCCTATATGCTACACGAAGCTCGGTGTGAAATACTAAAAAAAGTTTACGAAACGATTATCCCATATAGAAATGATCCAGAATAATTGTTCCGTAAACTTTTTTTGCAGGTTACACATGCATTCACTAGTTCTGTCCAGTTTTGAGTGACTACACAGTGAAGTGTCGACATTGCATGTTTCATGCACCAAAGGTAGCCTGGCAAGAATAAGATCTTGGTGCATGGAGAAGAAGTAGAATTGGTTTTCCTTATCACATAATAACAATGTGTAAACCATTAACCTCTATATCTTACTCCATTGTAAGGTCGTCTTTGACCAAGATTTTCTCCGGTGGCCAAACCCAACATTTTCTTGTAAAAAACCTCCTAGTGTAGTGATCACGTTTCAAAAATAGTAAAGACTTAGTGATTTGCAGTGAACAAATCTTTGTAACCAAACTGTCATTTTATTTTTAGAGGTTTAAATGTTTTATTCCTGATCATAAGAAACCCCCACTTAATCTACTTGCGCTCAATAGTAAAATCCATTATTATTCATAACCAAATATGTCAAAGATTTATAGAAATATTTCATCATTTTTAATTAAATTATTTTAGGGTTGGAAATATATTAATATTATTGTCAACTACGTCAGTAGAGAGGGTGGGGAAATCGAATTTGATAAACTTAAAGACGTCCCGGTATGATAACCTAGGTAACGACCTCCCCGGGGATATCTTCTTGATATTCTTATAGACGCCCAGGAATTCACCCCCTCGGGAAATCCCCCATTTGATCTTCTATAGATGCTTTTAGCTCTACACAATGATTTACAGATAAGCGTACTACTTCTACTGTTACGATGAATTTGTATTCTCTCTTGTGATTGGTTGTCATTTTTCCCTTATTAGGATTTGTTTTCTCGAAATTTTGGCCGAAAATGTATTGAGATTGATTAACAAACCAAATAGATAAAGGAAAGACTCTTATTTTGACAGATTGCAAAGCTCTGCAAAAAATATCATTGTTCTAAGAACATGAAACTAAAATGGGATTTAGTTAAGTTACAAGATGTTGTCTGAAGATATCTTTTTCATACAGCTGTCAGAAATTTTTTATTCGATTTGAAATATCGCAAATTCTATTATTATATATATATAAATTAAAGACTGTAGACCCCCATAAAGATCGAATATTTACAAGAGGATGTTTAATTTTTAATATATTCTTTTACTTCAATTTTAGTATATTCTTTTACTTTAATTTTTAGTATATTCTTTACTTTAATTCTTAGTATACTCTTTTACTTCAATTTTTAGTATATTCTTTTACTTCAATATTTAGTATATTCTTTTACTTCAATTTTTTTCAAAGTCTTTAAAAAAGGGGGTTCACCATGTTTTATGTAACTTTGCATAAATAGGAAAATCTACCAAAGAAAGTCTAAAAACACTACGCATTTCCAGTGTACAGCTGCGTTTACAGGGTTCACATATGCTTGAGCTATTACCTTACCTTGGAAACCATACCGATTCCATCTGCGATATCAACCATTATATTTCCAGTCGTATCAACATAGTCCTGATTAAAATAGTGGTCTGGAATTTTATATTATTCAATTTTATTTTGTTTTATTTTATTTTATTTTATTCTTTTTAATTTCTTATATTCTTTTTTCTTTTATTTTTTAAAATTTTATTTTGTGATGCTTTAAATGCAAGTTTTCTCGTAAAATCTTAACTATATATTTGAAGTTGTAATCTCTATTTGGGTGATTCTTAATTGAGTGGGTCGATTTTATCGGGAAAAATAGCTAATATAGTAATTTATGACTAAGTGCGAGTTAACATCGGTAGTAATAATGAGTACCCTGGACAACGCTGGGTTCCCAAGCTAGTATGCATATAAAGTTGTAATCTCTGTTTTGATGTCTGTCTGTTTGTTTGTCCGATCATAACTCAGGAACCCCTTGACAGATTTGCCTAAAATTTCGATTGTGGAATTCTTAACTTGATTTTGAGATTGAGTTGAGTGGGTCAACATGTATCAGGAAAAATAGCTTAAATCATAATTTACGACCAAGTGCGGGTAAACGGCGGGAGTTTTTGGGTTCCCAAGCTAGTCAGAAATAAAATTAGTTTAAAATTTAAAATTTACCTTAATTCCAGAGAGCATATTTACTCCGAACATATTTGATAAAACTAGTCCTGGAGGACCGGGTTCAACGGTAAGTGAGAATAAGTGGTTCTCTACTAAACTAATTAGGGACTCAGACAAGTATTATATGCATTTCATTAATTTCATTTTCATTTATGGAAAATAAAACAAAAAGTATTAGAATTAAAATAGGGGGTTCACTTTTTTCTGTCAAAAGTATTACAGTTTTTGTCAAACTTCAATATCTTTGTAACCTTATGGTGTAAACGTTGATATTTCAAACTTGGTATGTTTTATCCTACAAAATTAATGGTTTGAAACATCGAAGGTTTGCGACATTGGGTTGCAAAGATATGTCAATATTATAAAAACAGAGTTTGTGGCAAAGACTCAGTTCCTTTCATTTTTTTTGTAAGCTTTTATTAAACAAAGAAATACGAGTTTGCGACGAATTCAAAACAACTACATGAGTTTCGACAAATTTGAACCTTTTCTAGTTTGAAACATATCTCTCAATTTATTTTGGTTCTGTAGCAAAAGAGAAGAAAGATAAATAAAACTCCAATTCGAAAAATTTCAAAAAAATCGAACAACAATAACAAAAATGGTTTTAAAAGAGCTTTTATAATTTTTGAAATTCCGGTGAATTCCTGAAAATGCCAGACCAAGCCTCAGCTTGATTCCCATCTTTCTATCTCTTTTGGAATTAGTTCAGTTTTTATATCTGCAATAAAAAATTTAAAAGTTAGTATTTCACATAGGGTTTCCACGAAATGGCTAAATCTTTTGCGCAAATTTTTTTTTGCGAACTTTTGCGCTATTTTTGCGCATGAAACGCAATGAGTTTTGCGCGGTTTTGCGTTATTTTTTTGCGCAATTTGCGCAAAACCGGAAATATTTTTTGCGAAAGTTGCGCATGAAACGAAATTTTAGTTTTGCGCAATTTGCGCAAAACCGCAAGTTTTACGCAAAATGTAACTTTTTAGGCAAATTGTCAAAAATTGATATTCTAAGGCTAGAATTAAACAACTGAAGATTTATTCCATACATAAAAAAATATTAACATACGAGTATAATAACGATTATACTACACTCCATTAGTTACTTCCAGTTACAAAAAGTTTAAATAAGGGACCAAAATTAATAAAATAGAAATTAGAGAGTGTGAAACTTGGCAATATTTTAATCCTATTAAATTATTTCAAGTGACCCTTAAAAGCTTTGCCTAATCAAGTATGAATTATATTCTTAAATTTTTGTAATCAAATTTTACATCTCATATAAAATAATGCAAGAAAGTAACCAATGCCTGAAGAATCCACTTTTAGGAAATATGTATGTCCAAAACTAAAATTGTCGAGAAAATTGTGAGATTTGAACTCTTCTTAACTGTCATTGGTCAATTATGTAAAAGTGACCAATAGAAAGACATTCCAAAACAAGATTTTTCCAGAATTGAATTCTAAGAAACACACACCGTCACCAACCGTTTGATTTTTACGAAATTGCGGAATTGCGCAAAACTCTAGTTGCGGAATTGCGCAAAGCTTGAGTTTCGCAAAAGCGGCCAATAGGGCAATTTTGCGCGAAATGACTTTTGCGAATAATTGCGCAAATTATTGTTTTTTCGCGCAAAACTGATGCGCAAAGAAAGAAAAATTTTGCGATTCGTTCCGCAAAAATTGCGCAAAAGTTTTGCGAATGGAAACCCTAATTTCAAAGGTGTTTAGTTTAGATTTTACTAATCACCAAATTTTTTGATATTTTTTGTTTTTTGTTTTTAATGTCTACAAATTACAAATGAGTAGTCAGACCAAGGTTATGTATAAGGTTAGATAAACTCTGGATGCGAACCAATGTAAGTAAATGTCGTCTTTTATTGCAATGGACACTCTTAATCCTCATCTGACTTCACAATCCTGACAATCATCACATTTAATAAATATAGATTATGCTAGAAAGTTTGAAGCTAAAAAATGCAATTCTCATTCAAGTTTTTTATCTTTAATTTCGTTAATATTTATTGAGCCGCAAAATGTATTATTCTTTGAAATAAACAGTGACTTCATATGAGGATTTGGAGAATCCATTGCTATAAATGTCATCTTTACCTACATCGGAGCGCATCCAGAGTATCTAACATTAATATACAATCTTGATTCAGACACAATTCTGGATATTTTAACTATGGATTTCCAGCACAAAATTTCAAATCTCTAAAATAAATTCCAAGAAAATCCAAACAATTTAATCTCAAAACTAACAAATACATTTAAAAGTAGGATGTAAATTTTTTTCCAGAATTAATAGAACTTTCTAGAATGATTTATCTTAGAACTTGGAAAATGTACTCCATTAATTTTACTTTTCAAATTCTTTAATAAAAACTGAAAATTAAACCATTTCAAAGAAAAGTAAAATTTGCATAAAGACAAACAGCAGTTATAGTAAAGAATAAACTTCTAGTATTTATAAATTAATGAACTTAACTAAACTACAGTATATATGTAAACTAATGAATATATAACTAAACTACTAGTATCTGTAAACTAATGAATATATAACTAAACTACTAGTATCTATGAATTAATGAATAAAACTAAACTACTAGTACCTGTAAACTAATGATTATATAACTAAACTTCTAGTATCTATAAATTAATGAATATATAACTAAACTACTAGTACCTGTAAACTAATGAATATATAACTAAACTACTAGTATCTATAAATTAATGAATATAACTAAACTACTAGTATCTGTAAACTAATGATTATATAACTAAACTACTAGTATCTGTAAACTGTTGAACTAAGATCTAGTACTGTGTTGTCTAAACTAAATCAAAGAGCTAGAATTTGGCTGGAATCCAAGTCCACGTATGCATTGTGCATCATACACTTTCCTTTACAAATAATGATACATATTCTATTAAACAATGTCATTTTCTTCTCCCCAATATATTTCATAATGTAAACAGTTCAAAATGTTGCAATGGTAATTTTTATTCTTCTTATAATACAGATATGATACAAATCATTTAAAACCTTAATATTCTAAATCTATTAAATTCGATTTGATAAAAAAAAGTTGTTTAGATACTTGTTTGAATATTTATCGGTTATAGAACATTTGATTACATTTATCAATATAATATTTATATTAATAACAAAATAAAAAAGAAAATAGAGGCCAAATTTAAAGAATTTTAGCTGTAGCTTAAATTTAAGCCGTGGCTCAAGAATTGTTGGTTCCACTTAAAATTATATTAAATTTTTCAAGATTTCACCCGGCGCTCAATTGAAACCGTTTTATTTGGGGATTTGAGACGCGGCTTAAATTCATTAAATTCGGGCACAGATAATTCAGAGGCGTAATCAGGGGGTGCTAAGCCCTTCCTCCCTGTACCAGTAAAATTTCAGAGGGTTGTCAGGCCCTAACGGAAAGGAAAAACATTTAAAGGAAAAACAAATTCTTGGCTACGCCCCTAAGATAATTTTATCATAAAAAGTTTCATATATGCTAGATGTGCTTCCACATTTCGTACCTGCCAAGGTTGTAATACAAGGAAAGTTAATTGCTGTTGCGCATACTCTGCGTAGTGCGTACATATTGAAACCAGTTCTCTCTGGGCGGAATTTGTGAACAAGCATGGGTGCATCAGTGTTCGTTTAGTATCCGAGGAAGTTAAAAGCATTAAATTTTGATAATTTTGATAATTCACATAATAGTTTCCTATGACCAGATTTCATTGATTTTTTTATGTGAAAGATGGATCCCATGTCAGGCTTTGACATCCGTCTTGTGTTTACATTAGCGCCCAGAGACAGTACACTGCAGTAAAAAGATATGTTCACTTCTGAAATAATTTTCCTTGCATTACATCCTTGGTACCTGCATAGTGTAAAACAGTGTATAAAATCTGCGAAAAGTCCAATTTTTGCATTCAGGGTGTCTTGTTGGCCAAAATTGGATAATACATGTGTTTAATCATTTCATAAACCATTAAGATACAAAATTGAATGCTGAAACCAAAAATCAAGCTTCAAATCGTCATATTTATAGAGTTTTCGGTCGTCTTTACAGTCTCATTCTTTGTGAGTAACCCTGTACTGTGGTACTTATCTATTTTCTAAATATCATACAATGAAGACGACTTTTGATTTCATTGTTAATTTATTTATATTAAGATATTGGATATACATTAACTTAGTCAAGTCAAGTCTTGTAAACTTGTAAATCGCAAAAAAGCTTGTTAACAATCAACACTTAAATAAAAAGGTAGTTTTCCTTTTATTGATTTCATCGTCTACCATTGTATTTAAAACTTACTATAAAGATTATCCAGCTTGAACCGCTGTGTTTATGAATTATGAATTTCTTTTTAAGTTTTTTTTCAATTTGATTAAAGTGAAATTATACTCAAAGATTTGAACAAAGTGCTTATTGAATATTTTCAGGATACAAATACTAAATTTAAAAGGAATAATAGACATTATACTCAGGGGCGTACGAGGGAAAAAATTTTTTTTTGCGCGCTTACGCGCCCAGCTTGTGCCCCCCCCCCTAAATAAAAGCCCTCGTACGCCCCTGATTATACTCCTAAATAGTTATTTGATGCCAATGCATATTTTATTTCATTCTATGTGGGCTTGTTTAATGTATTCTATTCAACTGATGAAAGTAAAAGTCGTCTTAGATATTTCTCAATTTTTATTTATAAAGTTTTTATGAAACTATTACTGATTGAAATAGCAATGCAAATGTTTTTTCTTATCAATAATCAAGCGTCTTTATCGTATTGATATCATCGCCTTCCAATGTAGCATTTTTCCCAGGGGCATCAGGACTAAGTTTAAATCTTCATTAAAAAAAGAAAATAGAAATATTTTTAACCACTGATCTATAATTAGTGATGAACAATAACTTTTAAGGTTTATGCAAAAATATTACTGACAATGTTAGCTTAAAAAATAACATCATTGAATTATTTAATACCCCATACCTAGCCTTGAGAGCTAATCATGTCCAATTTCCATCATATACTGCACGTAGAGGCAGCTTAAGATTGGGTCCCCCCCCCCTTTGAACCATTGTAACNAAAAAGCGATAAACAAAACAACTATGTGTTCGTATAGTTGAACATGTTTTTCGACATTTAATTTCAAGCTTACAACCTGAAAGTGGACATGTGTTGACCATAAATACAACTTCTAAAATCACCTCCCCCCCGTAAGTCATCTTTACCAAAACCACCCTTGGAGAAAAACCAAACCAAAGCAAGTCTCCGTTAAAATTTATCTGAACTCTCCGGCAAAGAAACAACAAACAGTGAAACGTTTTACTAAGTAAAAGATCAAATCCACAAATAACTTTGCTATCTATAGCAAATGCCACTTAAGGTTTATATTTCAATATTAATATTAATCTTATTAACATTGTCATTTAATTTATCATACCTGCATTTTATTGCAGGTTTGAAATATATCAATTTTCTGATTATTGGAGACTACTGTGCCCGAGTTGAAGAGCCCGACCAACGAACCTTATGATCAAAAAACCTATCGACCGATAACAAACGAACCAATTAGCCAATTAACCAACAAGACTATTAATCTGTTAAACGCCAACGCCTGCCTATTGTTTCACAAAGGTGCCTTCTCTTTCTAGATACCCAAATTTTCCAGGGGGAAGTTCTCCCAATTTTCTAGGGGGCGGGAATCCC